GCCTTCCTCTTGAGGGGCAATGGACATGGAGATAATTTAATTCAGTTCCACCCAAGCTGCGAACAACTATATTACTCTTCCTGGAATCAACATTATTGGTTCATAGGGGACATATATGAATAACAGTCCAGATGGGGTTTTTATTTTTGAGAAGTTACTGACATTCCACAACAACCCCCAAAAACAGGTCTCTCCTCAAGCCCCTTTGTATGGTTCCTTCTGATATATTTCTAGGAACAACATGATTTACCAAACTCTTCTGATACAAGGGAGCAATTTAACAAATTCCATATCACATTTTCCATGGTAAGTGTATCACAGCCATCTGGCTAGCTTTCTAAACTAGTAGCATCTTATTGCAGGAGATTCCATAAGTGACACTGTGTTGGGTGACAGTTCTCTTTCTCATGTAACTTGAAGCAAGTGGCTTCACGCAATGCCTTGATATAATTGACGGTTTTGGGCAAAGAGTGTCCTTTAAAGCCAAATGTCTGTTCTATCCAAATTTACACCATTTGCATCAAGGTATGGCATTTACACAAATCATATCAATTGGCAGGACTAAATTTGGATATATTGGACTGTGTCTATTGTGTGGGATTGAAGAATTGAGTTCTTTATGCTCAGCTATGAACAAGAACAAAAGTTACGAACGAAAGTAAAATAAAATAAATTATTTGCACACACACGCACCCATTCCACATGCCCTAGAAAAACATGGAGCCCAGAGCCAAGGTAGGGGAAGAGTTCCTGCAAATACAGGAGTTGGACTGCTCAGAAATTCCTCAGAACCACCCCATCATGCTTAAAGAAAAGAGTAGCTTTACTATGGGTTCCGTTATGTGCAACGGAGTCAGAAATGAATCATCTTATTCAACGCAGCCAACAACATGAGACCACAGAGGCCTCAAGCTGCTTTCAGACTGGATCCAAATCCATGTGTGGAAATCCCTTTGTTCTCCAGGTTCTAGAAGTGTAGTGCTGGGAGTAAGTTGCCAGTAAGGAAAAAGGACTTCTGTTGCCCACTGAATCATTTCTACCTACTAGTTGTCATCCAGTGGCAGAATTTTTCAGAAAAGATTTTGCTTTATGCATTCTTTCACAGGAGAGGAGAATGTTGAAGATATTGTTGTGGGGAGAAGAGGGTGTCTGACACTTGCTGTGTGACCAGATGGTCAAGGGAGCATGTTTGAATGACTTGCCTTTCATCACGGCATCATCTTCTCATACTTCCATTAGATCCCAAGGGAAGACCTCAGGAGGGAATTCTTCCTCCCTCCCCGCCAGGTTTCTTTTTTAAAATACTGGTCCTGCTTCTTCTTTTAAGGAATTCTGATCTTGGGAATTTGTTAAACAATTTGTTCTTCTCCTGGGGAAATCCTGAGCAATTATGCACCTTGTTCGTCTGCCTTCAAAGTCATGCATGCACAGCTATAGTAATTTCTATTATTCAGACATTTCCACAGATGCATCTCATTTTAACTAATGCCCAGAAGAATGATCGAGGAGATGACTGCCAGACCTGAATTTGATGCTGCAGCCTGTAGACCCATCAGGCATTACTTTGTCACAGCTCTTAGGCAGAAACATCTGCCCCCTCTACTATAAAATTTGAAGTTTGGTTGCTTCATCTCAATCTGCATGTCGCCCTGTGAGACAATCCAGAAGGTGACCACTTCCTCTTTTAAGTTTGCAAGTATAATGACCCTTTCTTCTCTTCAGTCAGATGACAGAAAAAGCTGTGCATAAAGTCTTTGTCAGACACCTATTCTGGAAATAACAAGGTTGTTTAGGCTCTGCACATTAATGAAAAAAGAGATGCCAACAATTTCTATGTGTTTGGACAACATCAGATAAGAATGTTCATGTGTTAGCTCCATGGGTCACCAAGGGTTTTTCCTAGGAATTATTTCCAACATGCTTCTCTGGAAAAATATTAAAAAATACAGCTTTCCCCCCAGGTAACTGAGAATCCAACCACCCAGGATGTTAATTGCACGTAGGCCATGGCAGTAGGTCTTTATTGACTTCTTTTAAACTTAAGGCAGCTATCC